TTCATCTTCTCAAAAGGGGAGGTGATATGTATCCACATATATATATTTATGTGTGTGTGTGCATGTTGGTCTCTCTTTCTGTTTGCTCGGTTAGTCTGTGACCACTTCACTTGTATGAACTTGTCTCCTTTAATAATGTATATTCCATTTATATTATATATAATATGAGTGTTTGTTGACAGTCCGTTGCTTGGTGACATATATCCATATATGTTTGTTGGCATGTCTGCTATATTCGCTATGTATAATTGGATCGACACTCCATTATAATTAGCCATTCATGTTAAGACTGTCTAATGATTTTTCCCACGCTTGTCTGAATTATTTATATATATTCGCATTCACAATTTGTGTGAACTACTTTACTTTACAACTACTTTACTTACTTACCACTTTGGTGTGAGACCATTTATTTTCGTCTCCTTGTGTTTGGACAATAGAAGTATCATCGCAAACCTAGTGGTCTTCTGATTTCCGCCTTCTCGCGTCAGGACTATTAACTTCTCGACCAGTACATAGCAATAACTTAGCGACGAGTACATAACAAAAGATATGCAGAGGCAAGTAAGTGAAATTCAGAAAAAATTAGATCAGTTTGATAGTATGTCACTGCCAATCTCAAATACCACGGAAAGCCGTTCTGATATTGGCCAGGTCAACTCTTTACTGGATGTAACTCAAAACAAGCTTTCGGATTTAGACCCAATAGCCTGTCTGTTAAGACAACATCCTAAAATATCTCCAGACAACCTAAATAAAGCTGAAAATCTGATTGACTGCTTGGCTACGGAGGTGATGAAGCGTATAACCTCTTCTCACCAAGCTATAGTTTACGTCCCAGATTCTCTGCCCCTGAAAACTGTCAGACACAAAATCCTGATTTGTTGTGGCATGGCTAGTGTTCCATGTGAATGCAAAAGACTTCGTAAAAAGTCTAACCAGGCTAATTGCCCCATCATTTTTAAATTCAGTAATTCCCTTGATGCTAGCAAGTTTACTAAATGTCAGGATCACTTAAAACTGAATAGCAGTTATAAGTCTATAACCGTAGCTCAGGATAAAACACCATGTCAGCGCAGAATAATGCGTAGTAATAACCCGGTCACCTCCTCTAGCTTTGATTTACCAAAAAAGGATCGTGCACAGCAACAGACACCTAGTGCTGAAACTAGCATTCAGCAAACTACACAACAACCACGCTTGCCAATGGAACTAGGAACTGATTTAGATACCAGTACCCCCATAAATAAAGCCTCATCGAAAGATGTTAAAATGACTAGAACTTCTGCAAGTTGTTCTAAGAAATTCCACCCCCCCAAACGTAGTAACCTCACCACGATGAACAAATTTCGCAGGGTTGAGACTAATGATGGGGAAGAATACTTTGTATTCAACAAGCCTGCTGAGAGTAAGAATGTTAACAAACCATCACTTGTTACGAAAAACTCCTCTCGAAACATAAGGAAATCTGGAGGTTTTCCGCATGCTCCACCTTATAGAAAGTCAGGCTCCAAGACTCCTAAAGTCTGGCAGCCAAAGCACCTTCCTTCACAATTCCCTTTAAGTTATAAGAACAACCCGAAGGTGTGTACCGGTATGACGAATAGCAGTTCTTCTCAATATCTTTGGACACTGGCACTTACCCTAGTGAGTGGAAAACTAGCTTCGTAATTCTACATTACAAATCTGGTGATAAGGCAAACGTCCGGAATTACAGACCCATAAATATAACCCCAGTTATCTCACGAATCATGGAGAAAGTTGTGAAAGATCAATTGTCAGACTACCTACTTAGGGAAGATCTTGTTACAAGGTCTCAACACGGATTTCTCAAAAATAGATCCTGCGTTACTTGCCACTTCGACTTTTTCAACTGCATCACTAGTAGTCGCGAAGCACGTAAGCTAGTCGTTGTTCTCTACTTCGATATATCTAGGGCATTTGACATGGTATCTCACAGTATTCTCTTTGAGAAGCTGTACTCTTGTGGAATTCGCAACCCATTACTGAACTGGTTAAAATCATTTCTAAGCAACAGGGTACAAATAACCAAAGTTGGATCTGTATTATAAGTTTCCAGACCGTAGGTGTTACGAATTTCCTGGAATAATTTGAGCGCCGAGTCAGATTGATTCATTATAAATTATTTAAATTAATCCCAGCGTGTTAAGAAATCTTGTTTTGATTTTCTTAACACGCTGGGATTAATTTAAATAATTTATATTGGATCTGTATTGTCTCATCCTAGGCAGATCTCAAGTGGGGTTGTGCAAGGTAGTGTCCTAGGTCCACTTTTATTCACAGTCTACATTAACAGCATTTGCAAGTGCTTCACCTCAGGTAAACCATTCCTATATGCTGACGACCTCAAAGTCGTCTACTCCTGCTACACTCATGAATTAAGCGATATGGTTACCAAAATACATCTTGAACTAAGTAGTCTCTCAACATGGTGTGCTGGATTCTGTCTAAACTTTAACATTGAGAAATGCGGCTGGATTTGTATCGGCAACAGTAAGCTTGATCTAACTCTTGAAATAAATGGGCGAAAACTAGCTAAGCTCAACTCAGTCGTAGATCTCGGTATTAGATACTCTAGTAACCTAACGTTCTCTGAACAAACTGATTATGCCAGTCGTAAAGCACGAAGGCTGATAGGTTGCATAACACGCAATTTCTTTTGTTGTGAAACTAGGGTTTTATTATACAAAGTATGTGTCCGACCTATCTTAGAATACTGCCCGTTTATTCTTAGCGGAGTCAGACAAAATGACAAGCTTAAATTAGAGGGAGTGCAACGGCAGTTTACCTCAATAACTCTTGGTTTAGAAAGTGGTCTGGAATACCATGAGCGATGCGACAGGCTAAGATTAGAACCCCTCTGGAAAAGACGCCTTAAGCTAAACCTTATCTTTTACTATAAGCTAACTAATCTTCTCTTGCATTCCTCCGAACCAATAACTAAACCTACCACTATCATCAGTTACAATCTTAGAAATCATCACAATCTAGCTGCTATAGAGCACTGTCAGACTTACGTGCGGTACAACTTCTTAAATAAGTTTTCAGTCATTTGGAATAGACTACCAGCTAATGTGCGCGATGCAAACACACTTCCAGTGTTCATCTCCTCAGTCACCAGACTGCTCAAAGATGACAATGCACTTTTGCGCCTGACTCTTACACCTTCTTTTTCACCCTACATAGATATTTTAAGTTCTTTAAACGTGTAGTTACAACAAACTACAATTATAAATTTTAATATTATTGGAACTAGATGATAAACATTTCTACACAGGACAGTAATATTAGTTCACACATAATATAAAAGTTAGCGTAACGGGACTAGTTAGTTTGTGTACCAAAATAACCACAGTTACTAAACAGAATATATATGTATATATTTATTAATCACTCCTTAAGGACTCCCGTTGCTTTCTTTTGCGTTGCTGTTGTTTGTCTTCTTTTTTCTCTCACCATTTCAGCTTCCATTTGACTTTTTGAATGAGAATGAATAATGTGGATATTTGACCATTTACAATGACAAATGATCTGCAAACATTATTGGTCCAGTATCTTTCAGTTGCCTAGTTAATAACGAATTAACTTTCCCCACGACGCAACCTGGATTACATTTGTGGAATATACTCTTATACCAATGGAAAAGTATCAATTTGTAATACAACGTCACGATTGTAGCTTATAACATAACTGATCGTATCTGTAAAAATAGCTTCCTTATTACCCAATTTGGATATAAATCAAAAATGAGATTCGGATTTGTACACACCTAAGTTATATTGTGGAATTACTTCAAGCTTTATTTTTTCCAAAGTATTTTTAATCCATCCAAAACTTACTTGGGTTTTTTTGTTAATGCGAAGTCAATATTCCTATATTTCATGATGTGCTCCATTGAATGACTGGTTATCATATTGTTCCCACAAACCAAAGACAGAAACGTCAGCAACCATGTAATTTAACTATAAACCAAATTTATGAAATTTAAATAATGCTTATCCATGCCTGTACATTTGATGTGTCCTACACAGGTAGGAAAAAATGTGTATTTTATTAAAACATTATTATTAATTATGATTGCTAATCGTATATGTAATTTATCATACTGATGATGCCTGTAAACTGGCGTCTCTCATGTACAAAATGAGAATATATTATTATTGTTATTATTATTATTATAACCAACGAACAGAAACAAGAACAACAACCAGTACCAGTCACCATCAACGGGAGAGATCTAACAGAGGTTACTTCCTGACCTCGGTTATTTAGGAAGCATTGTTTCAACCACAGGCGCTTGGAACAGATGAAGATGTCAACGCCAGCCATAGAGCATTGGAAAGGCAAGATACACTCTCATCAACCTGAAACCAGTTTGGAGATCTTCTGCACTGCACTCAGTCAGTCAGTCAGTCAGCATTAAGAACAAGATTCGGATTTCCAACACAATGTGAAGTCAGACAGTCAGTCAGTTCCTCTATTTGAGTCAGAAACTTGGTGTGTGTGTAACGAAAAGGATTTTCAACATTCTGATACAGACTTTTATCAACAGCTGCACGCTTCGGTGGCGGAGATCATGTGACGATGAGGGGATGACAGACTATGGTGAATCGTGGAGCTAGCAAGTTGAAGAGAACAGCAGGAAACAGAAGAAAGTGGAGATGTGTTGTTGAAGCGTTACGTTCCACTCGGAACCCAAGGGAGTAATAGTATATATATATATAAATCCAAATAGTTTGTATACATGGAATGACATGTGATGTTAGCTGATGATTTGGTGGTGCAGGTCAACAAATAAAATAATAATAAGCCCCTTGTAATGCATATTCACAAATTTGTTTTCAGTTATGTTTAACATTGTGCGGTAAAATGAATATCTCCTTTTATTATGTAAGTAAACAAAATCAATAGTATGCAAACTAAAATGCAGTAATTATTTATTGCATAACCAACCCATCACAAAATATTTTGTCACTTACTCATAGAATTTTGGCGGGGCGACACCCAACGTCCGACTGACATCTTCTATAGTGATCACACCTTTATCATTGGTATCGAAAAGTTGTAACCATCTCTAAGTTAAGAATGATAAATGGAAACAAAAAATGGAACAATTGAAAGTTATGTAAGTAAATTTAGTTTGCAGTTATTGTTAAAATATGTGAAAATATAAATTTCCAAACATTTGGCTGAGTAAGTGGGATCAAATAATATCGTCATATATTTGATTCATGAAAATCTACTTCATTTGGTATAGAGAACAAGATTAAGGCTTTCAACAGTATAATATCAAGTCATTGCGAATATACTGATTGGTTCAGAGACTTCGCGCGTCACCAAAAACATTTCCAATGGACTATAGAGACTTGTGCGTCGGTGGCACAGTGGTTAGGACTCTCGCCGACCATGCACATGGTCCGGGGTTCGAGCCCACCCCGGCGCACACCTGATATCTATGGTCGGCCTGCAAAATTTGGGCTACCGATATCCATTCTGAAAATTCCACACTTGTACCAAAAATACAGTGTGGAATCAAGCTGTAAATAAAAAATAAAAAAAAATAATTGGTTGGGACCCTCGCCGATCATGCATATTGGTCTGGGATTCGATCTCCGGCCACAGACTCACTCCTTTACCCCACTAAGCCATAAATAAAGCTGTTAATGAGGAACTGAGCTACAGAAACTTCAAGCCTCTAGCTTGAAGCCGCCCTATGTTCCACTAGGAACGTGAAGGAATCAGAAAAAAATAGACTTTAATCAGCAACTGTCTTCGTTCTATCCTGAGAATGATATTGTCAGCCAGGAAGGATTAGCAACAAGGAACCTTTGGAATGAACCGCCCAAGAACCTATCACCTAACAAATGCGCCCAAAGAAATGAAGATGGATCGATAGAAATATGCTGAGAAGATCGTTTATTGATAAAGCACACTAGGTGTAACCTCGAGTTTAATGCCAATGGGTAAAGCTGATTTCGGTATGGATATGAAGGTGACATGATGAAGTTAGTGTGAGAAGATAATGGTCGATGGACAATCGTGGAGTTAGCTACGGAGTGCAGACAACAGGATGTAATCGAGATGTCCCAATCAGAACCTAAGGAAATAATTATAATAAATATTTGCTTCATTCAGCAGCCTGCTTAAATCTCTAGGCTACCTAAATTTCCATCCTATGTAATTATTATATTATTATTATGATTGTATCCTTTAGTTCCTAGAGGAACATAGGGCTTCAGCTGCGCACCTCCATTGCCTTCGGTTTTCTGACAACTTTTTCACCCTGCTCCAGGTCTGTCCACATGCTTTCATCTCCTCCTCGCATGACCTCCTCCAAGTCACCCTTGGATGACCAACTCGCCACTTCCCCTTCGGTTTCCACTCGAGGGCTTGTCTAGTGATGTCACTTGATGGTTTCCTCAGCGTATGGCCAACCCATCTCCATTTCTTCCTGCCTATTTGTTTCACAATCGGTTCCTGATGTGTTGGTTCGCTCATTGCCAGAGATCCGTGTTGCTGATCTTTTCTGACCGGCCATCTGATCTTGAGTATTGAGCGAAGACAGTTGTTAATGAAGGTCTGAAGTTTGTTTGAGATGCTCTTTATGACTCACAGTGCAAGTCTCTGATCCGTATAGTAGCACTGACTTCACATTTGCGTTGAAGATCCGGATGTTATTTTTGATGCTGAGTGCTGTTGACCTCCACACAGATTTGAGAGTAGTGAAAGCTTGTCTTGCTTTTCCGATTCTGGCTTTGATATCCTCGTCAGTTCCGTCCGCCTGTAGTTGAGACGATGCTTCCCAGGTAGGTGAAGGAGGCTGTTTCTTTTAGGTTCCTCCCATTTATGCTGGCTGATTGTTGTCTGTTGTTGTTGTTGATGTTGGCTAGGAATCTTCATCACCTCTGTCTTATCTATGTTCACTTGAAGTCCTATCTTTGATGCTTCTCCTGCCAACTTGTTGCTTTTCACTTGCATATCTTTCAGTTTGTGGGAAATCAGACATATATCATCGGCGAAATCCAGATCCTCCAAGTCTTTTGTGTCAGTCCATTTTATGCCTGTTCTCTCGTTGGTTGCCGTTGTCTGTCGCATTATCCAATCGATTGCAATCAGGAAGATCATTGGTGATAGTAGATAGCCTTGCCTCACTCCCGTCCTCACTTCGAAGGCTTCCGTAAGTTTCCCGTTGTGGATTACTTGGCATGCAGCATTGTCGTATAACTGTTGGATGAGGTGTATAATTGTCGATGGGACCCCGTAGTAGCGAAGTAGTTTCCAAATGACCTCTCGATCGACGCTGTCGAATGCCTTTTCAAAGTCGATGAAGTTGAAATAGAGAGGTGACTGCCATTCCAAGCTTTGCTCAATGATGATCCGCAGAGTGGCGATTTGATCAATACATGACTTGTTTCTCCTGAATCCGGCCTGTTCCGGTCGAAGTTTTTCATGTAGGGCTTGTTTGATTCTCTCCAGGATGATGCGACTTAGTATCTTGCTTGGAATGGACAGAAGCATAATTCCGCGCCAGTTTTTACATTGACTTAAGTCTCCTTTCTTTGGTAGTTTGAATAAGTATCCGTTCTTCCAATCCTCGGGTACTTTGCCCTCTTTCCACACCTTCTCCAGCAGTGGCGTCATCAAGTCCTCTGTTGTCTCTGGGTCTATTTTCAAAGCTTCTGCTGGGATTTCATCTGGTCCTGGTGCTTTTCCAGCTTTTAGCATCTTGATTGCATTCACGAGTTCTGATTTCTTCGGGGAGTCGATGTTCACTGGTAGTTCTGCTTCCGTTGTTGGTATTGTTGGGCGCGTTGTAGGCGGCGGACGATTTAGAAGTTTTTTGAAGTGTTCAGCCAAGTGCTTTCTCTGTTCCACCTCTTTGGTGATTGACTTTCCATTGTCGTCCTTTATTGGCTTAATCTGTAATGCATAAACTCTTCTTCACTTCCAGTTGTTTGAATGATGCACTCTTTCTTATCCTTGAATTGATACATCAAATAAAGCAGATTTTTAATTAGCTCCTAAAATATTGCTCTACAGTTGCCTAAGGAAATGAGGGAAAAAAGTTGTAGAGTTTTGAAATCTTGTTACGAAGAGAACAACAGTGATTCACACTTGATATACTATCAACTACTATTCCAAGAGTTGGTTTGTACGGATTAGATTTGTTTATACGAGTTTGCTAATGGATTGATATCAGTTATCAAACCATTGAAAACCAGCCCTGGAGTACTGGACAGCCAGCTGTTTCTTCTTAGTTTGGGAGTCATCGTCAGTACGCACCCACTGCCACAGTTCGAACCCACGATTTTCCTATTACAAGCAGACAAACTCGTATATCATTCAGCCACTGGGACGCCATTCATTGGCTAACCCATGAGTTCTAACTTCTTCTAACTTGGTGATCGTGCTAAATCACGAATTGGTAGAAGTTAGGATTCATGGGCTAACCATTGAATCGGGTCCCAGTAGATGAATGGTATACCAGCTTGTCAACTTGTAACAGGAAGGTCATGGGTTCGAACTGTGGCAGTGGGTGCGTACTGACGATGATTTCCAAACTAGGAAGAAACAGCTGGCTGTCCAGTTCTCCAGTGCTGGTTTTCAATGGTTCTCTAACCGATATCAATCCATGGGCAAACTCGTAATTACTGTTTCACTTAAAGATCCTTAATGAAGAGTAAATATTTCTCGATTAAATACTCTGATAACTGTGTGCTTTATTGGATAGTTGGAAGCGATCGGCAGGAAGCCTTGGCTGTACCTAGGTTTCGTGCTAGTTGGCATTCACCAGTCAGCAAGGCATATCTGTTACCTTAAAGGAACTCATGTCCCTTCTGAGATTGGAACTCGCGTCACCCAGTGCTGCAGTCAGAAACTTTACCACTGAGCCATTTGGGCTCGCGATTGGTCTCCTGTAGGACTGACAGAATTCAGTCTGCATTAGTTACTAATTAGTGTCCTCTACAGTTCTACGGGAGGTCTATCACGAGCCCGAATAGCTCAGTGTTGTAACATCTCTGACTGCAGAACTGGATGACATGAATTCGAATCTCAGAAGAGATATGAATTCCTTCAAGACTGAACATACACCTAGCTGACTAGTGAATTCCAACAAGCAGGTAGCCTAGATCCAAGGCTTCCTGTGGCCGATTGTCTCCAGGCATCTAATATTTAACAAAAGACTAGACACATTACACTAGTTATTTATTGACTAATCTTCAATCAAAACGGTGTGCTGTGTTAACCTAAACTATTTTCTGTTATTGTGATTCATACAGTCTCAATCTTTCAATTAAATCCACTAAATCACTAGATTTATTAGTAAGTTGATTTAAAAAATTTTTCTTAACTCATCCATTTTCGCAGACAACTAATTATTTAAAACAATTAGTTCCCTTTATGAATTTAGATAAAGCAGTAAGACGACGTAATTTGTCTGAAACGTGTGTATGTAATGTATTTGCGCTCACAACACATTTCAAACAATCCGATCTATCACACACGGACTCGTCATAGGAATAAATGTGTATGAAATTAATAAAGAGTTAAGAGGTGAGAAAATTGATATGTATCCATATATATACATATTTAAGTGTATGGTGGTCTCTCTTTCTGTTGCTCTCTTAGTCTGTGACACTGTCACTTTGACGAACCTGTCTCCTTTAACAATGTATATTCCCCTTATATTATATATAATATGTGTGTTTGTTTGACAATCTGTTATATTTCGCTATGTATATATGGATCGATATTCCATTATAATTAGCCAATCATGTTAAGACTGTCTATTGATTTGTTCACACACTTGTTTGGACATTCATATGTATTTTGCTCTCACATACTTGTGTGATACATATTTGATTCTCCTGGTGTTTGGAATATAGAAGTATCATCGCAAACCTAGTGGTCTTCTGATTTCCGTCTTTCTTTCGTCAGGACTATTAAATCCTCGACCAGTACATAGCAATAACTTAGCGACGAGTACATAACAATTTGGCGACGGGGAAAACTATGGACTCTTCTAAATTGGAATTATTGTTTGAACAACAAATGAAATTAATGGAAATGTTC